AAAAAAAAAAAAAAACAGGCAGCAGGACGGATTTACCCTGCAGGCTGTAGTTTGCTGACCCCTGCTTTAAAATATAATCAGATCATATTGTTCTCTCAAAACCCTGGGAATTAGTTTTCTACTGTTGGGTAACAAATTACCACAACTTCAGCAGCTTAAGACACCCGTTTATTATCCTCACAGTCTGTTGATCAGAAGTGCAGGTGAGTCTCGCTGAATTCTCTGAATAGGGTTTCACAAGGCTGAAATCAAGCCAGTTCTTTCCAATTGTAAGTCTGAGGTCCTCACTTCCTTGCTGGCTATCAGCCAGGAACTGCTCTTAGCTTGAAGAGGCTGCCTGCATTCCTTGTCATGTGGTCTCCCTCCATCTTTAAAGTCATTAAAAGCACATGCGTATCTCATGGTTTGAATCTTTTTGATGTTCCTTTATGCTACCAGCTGGGAAAAACGCTCTGCTTTTAAAGGGGTCACCTGATTAGGTCAGACCCACTCAGATAATTGTGTATCAAGGTCAACTGACTTGGGAGTGTTGGGGAGGGGGCATCATCTTTAGAAGTCTGCCTACCATACCTTGCAATAATTTCCTACTCAGAGTAAAAAGAAAAGGCACGTAGGAGGGCCAACATGACTTGTACCACTTGCTGTCCCCCAACCTCCATGCATGTCTCATTACCTCTTTGATATTATTTCCTGCTCCTCTCCCTCTGGTTTACTCTGTTCATGCACACTAGTCTTCTTGCTGTTGCTTAAACATGCCAGACACATCCCACCTTGGGATCTCTGTCTGGAGTACTCTTCTCTCAAATATCTAATTTGTTAACTCCTGTATCTCCAAGACTTTGCTCAACTTCCACTTTTTCAATGAGACCATATCTGATCACACTATTCAGAGGTGTTTTTTTTTAAGTTTATTCATTTATTTTTGAAAGAGAGAAAGAGTGAGCACAAATGGGGGAGGGTCAGAGAGAGACAGGATCCCAAGCAGGTTCCGCACTGTCAGCATAGCACCTGATGAGAGGCTCGAACTCGTAAAGTGAGATCATGACCTGAGCCAAAGTCGGACACTTAACTGACTTAGTCACCCATGTGCCCCTGATCACACTGTTTAATACCACAACCTGCACTCTCACTCCTGGCACTGCCTATTTCCCTTATCTTGTTCTATTTTTGTTTTTTTTCTACTATACTTAGCACCTTTAACATACTATATCCTTATATGTGCTTATTTATGTTTATTGTCTGTCTCTCCTTGCCACAATTATGCTCCTTAAGGGTAAGGCTCTGTGTCTATTTTGGATTCACTAATGTATTTTTCTTTCTTTCTTTTTAAGTGGTAAGGTTCTTTTCTTTTTTTCTTTAAGTTTATTTATTTATTTTGAGAGAGAGTGAGCATGTGCACGTGGTGGGGGGGCAGAGAGGGAGAGAGAATTCCAAGCAGCCTCTGCACAATCAAGAGTCTGTTGCCTACCTGACTGAGCCACCCAGGCACCCCCCTTTTTAAATTTTATTTATTTAGGGGCGCCTGGGTGGCTCAGTCAGTTAAGCATCCTACTTCAGCTCAAGTCATGATCTCGCAGTCCGTGAGTTCGAGCCCCGCATCGGGCTCTGTGCTGACAGCTCAGAGCCTGGAGCCTGTTTCAGATTCTGTGTCTCCCTCTTTCTCTCTCCTCCCCCGCTCATGCTCTGTCTCTCTCTTCTCAAAAATAAATAAACGTTAAAAAAATTTTTTTAAAATAAATTTTATTTATTTAAAAATAATTTTTAATGGTTATTTATTTTTGAGAGAGAGAGAGAGAGAGAGAGACAGACAGACAGACAACATAAACAGGGGAGGGGCAGAGAGAGAGGGAGACACAGAGTCCAAAGCAGGCTCCAGGCTCCGAGCTGTCAGCACAGAGCCCAGAGCAGGGCTTGAACTCACAAACCGTGAGATCATGACCTAAGCTGAAGTCGGATGCTCAACCGACTGAGCCACCCAGGCCCGCACACCACCCCCCCTCCTCATTTTTTAAAGTAAGCTCTACTGCCCAATGTGGAGCTTGAATGACCTTGAGATTAAGAGTCACATGCTCTACTGACTGAGCCAGCCAGGCACCCCTCATTGATGTATTTTTTGTTCACTAAGCATATAGCACAGTGTCTGACACAAAACAGGTGATCAATAAAAATTCGCTGAATGAAGTTTAGGGAAACTCTTGTTGTAATTTTCTGTATACGTATGTATGTACTAGGTTATGATATAAAATAGAATTTCTTATTGAGGATGGTAGTCAAGAGAGTTTGAATATATGACTTCTAAAGTCCTTTCTAAATGTGAGCACTTATAAATTTCTATATGCAGCTAGTAAATCTCCACTATATCTTTTGGGAGATGGCAAAGTTCACAGCCTACTTTCCACAGCACAGCATTGCTTATTGAAACCAAAACACCAAAAAAAGCTATCTTGTCTGTTCTATAACAGTAGGTTAGGGAAAACTGGAAATAGCAAGAACTGCTGAATGCTCCAAAATGTAAAAAATCTGAACTTAATCCTTCCATGAAAAAGAGATAGAAATTGAGAGAAAATGACAAAAGAGAACATTTTCTAGACCAACATTTCCCTGGGTAAAGCTTTCATTCACTTACTGAAGAAGCAAAGAGGAGTGAAGAAAGATATCGCTCAAAGTCTCTGCGGTAGAGATCGTGACCTGAATGGACTTCGGGAGCAAAGACCACTTCTGAAATACATATGATTTCCACTCATCCACAGGCAGATCCATCCTACTTTAGGTCTATAAAATGAATAAGAAAATAAAGGATTCAGATTTCTACAAATGCACAATCCTAGAAAAATCAAGATTTCACTCAAGCAAATGGGAAACAACCAAATCAATTCTTGTGGTCTTTTTCTGTACTTTACATGCTGAGGATTTATATTCTCTCACACTGAACATCCTTTTATTCAGAAATATTTATTGAAGGCCTACTTTGTTCCACAAAGGACACTTGCCTCTTAGACCTCCATCTCCCAAGATGCTCAAGTCAGAAACTGAGACGTCCCAGGTTTTTCTTTCTCTCTCCTCAGCAACTATTAAGTTAACAAATGTTTCTATGTATAGTTCAGTTTTTTTCTTTCAATCCCCAGGTCATTCCTTTAGTTCAAGTCCTCACCATCTCTTGTCTGGTGTAACTAGTTTCCATGCCCTCAGTCCCCTACCCGGCTTTCTAAATTCAATTCATCCTTCATATTGAGACAGATGTCCATCCTCTGCCTTAAATTAATCAATGCTCCTCCAAGCATTTAGGGAAGCCCAGTACAAATCCTTCACTATTTGACCTGGGGCTTGTTTTCTTCCTTTTTTTTTTTTCAAAATTTATTTATTTAGGGGCGCCTGGGTGGCGCAGTCGGTTAAGCGTCCGACTTCAGCCAGGTCACGATCTCGCGGTCCGGGAGTTCGAGCCCCGCGTCAGGCTCTGGGCTGATGGCTCAGAGCCTGGAGCCTGTTTCTGATTCTGTGTCTCCCTCTCTCTCTGCCCCTCCCCCGTTCATGCTCTGTCTCTCTCTGTCCCAAAAATAAAAATAAACGCTGAAAAAAAATTTTTTTTTAATTTTATTTATTTATTTTGAAAGAGCGAGGAGGCGAGGGGCAGAGACTCCCAAGCAGGTTCAATACTGTCAGCGAGGCGCTTGACAAACGGCTTGAACTCACCAACTGTGAGATAGATCGTGACCTGGGCCAAAATCAAGAGTCAGATGCTTAACTGACTGAGCCACCCAGGCACCCCTACCCCTGGCTCATTTTCTAATGCCTAAGTCATCTTCCTCTGTAACCCACTATCCTGAGCTACTTAAAGCTATCCCCAGCTTGCCAGGCTATTCACCTCTCTAGTTTGTGCATAGTCTTCGCATTCATCCAGGCGCATCCTTATCCTCACTTACAGTCCACCTGACAAACCTGCACACACCCTTCAGGGCTCAGTTTGAATGGCACCTCCTTTGGGAAGCCTTCCCTGATTTTCCATCTGTGATCGCAGCACACTTCGTGTCTCTCCTGAGGCCCATATCATGTCTACTTGGAGTGAGGACCCCTCACTGTGGTAACTCCCTGGACAGACCATACTCTCCTCAGAGGGCAGGGACTGGATTCTATTTACCTTCAGAGATCCCCACTGTGCCAAGCTCAAGGTCTAGCACCGGCGGGAGCTCCGCCCTGGGTTGAGAAAGTAGTCTAGTTACTGCTTGACTATGGTCAGCAGCAGGGTTATCAGGGAACAGCTCTCTCTTCCAGTCGGCCCGCCAAAGGCCGAGCCAGGCTTTCCACCGAGAAGCCTCTCGGCAAGCTTCCGGAACTGCACCTCGCGCCCTTGGTTAGCGCTCGCGTCATCCTCCGCGCGCCCCGCGGCCCAGGCCCCGCCCCTGGCCGCATTGGGAGACTAGGTCCTGAACCAGTGCTCAGGCGTGTCACGTGGGCTGCTCGCAGCTCCTCGGCCAACGCGGTGGCTGCTCCGCCCTTAAGCCCGCCTCCGTGCCCTGCGCATGTCGGAAAGCGGGGGTGGTGCCTGTAGCTCCTTGGCCCAATAGCTTTGGAGCGCGCGGGGCCCCGGGAGTGAAACAGGGGCTGCGGAGGATCCGGAGCGCGGGAGTTGGTGCGGCGAAGGCATGGTGGGCCACCTGAGCGAGGGGGCCATTGCGGTGAGGAGACGCCTGCGGGCCAGCGGGCCGCGGGGTAGCTGTGGGCCCTGGCCGTGTCGGGGTGGAGAAGGAGAGAGAGGCTGGAGGCTATGGGGAGAGAACGCGGGAGAAGATAACGGGGGTGGGACAGGAAACCGTCGGGTGACTCCCTAAAATCATCACCCTCTCTTCGAAGGAGTTTTCCTGTCCTCTTTTAAATATGCCCGTGTTTTTTGTACTTAAGAAAACGAAGCAAAATGAACTTGTTTGTCCTCCATCTCCCTCCTTTGGCTAGTCTCTGTCTCCGCCCCTCCCCTTGTCCACAGCAAACTTCTCGAGAGTTGTCGTTTCAGCACACCTCGGGTTAACCCATTAACAGACTCCAATCCTTCGTTCCCTTCGATCGCTATAGAAAGAACGCTGGCTGAAGTTAACAGTGCCTCCTAGTCGTTAAATTCAACAGCCACTTTTGAGTTTTCAACTGAACCAACAGAGTTCTCAGCAGCGTTTGAGTGTGTTGAGCATTACTTCTTAACTTAGTTTCGGCTTTTTTGGCTTGGCTTGCCCGATCTTTCCTCGTCTTGTTTGCAGGTCCCTCATTGTAGGTTGTTTACTCAAGGTTATGTTCTAGGCCCTCTTCTACCAAGACATACCATTACCATCTGTATGTCAGTTGCACACAAGTGTCTTTGTCCGGAACCACCTTTAAAAATTTTTTGTTTATTTGTTTTTGAGAGACAGAACGCTAGCGGGAGAGGGGCAGAGAGGGAGGGAGACAGAGAATCCCAAGTAGGCTCTGGGCTGTCAGCACAGAGCCCTGTGCAGGGCTCATGCAGGGCCTGGACTCACAAGTTGTGAGTTGTGACTTAACGAAGAGTAAGTTGCCTAACAGAGCCACCCGGGCACCTCTGGAGCCACCTTTATCTGAAAGACAAACCTCTATTTTCTGTCTGCCCACCCGATACCTCAAAGAGATTTTAAATTCAACATATCCCAAAGTAGGTCCATTATTTTAGTAAGTTGGGGCCTCTTGGTGTTCCCTATAGGGATGAATGGCACCATTATCCACTAAGGTATGCTAGCCCGAAATTGTGGAATCATTCTTCTTGCAGACTCCCATCACTTTAGATGTCCAGTCCATCACCAAATTTGGTTTTACCTCCACACATTTCTCTTAAATACATCTACTTCTCTTTCATCCACTCTGGCATCATCATTTCTTGCCTGGACTACTCACTTCCACCCAGTGTACCCCCCCCCCCATTCCCATCATTGCATATTCCCTCTTGTTCTTGCTTCCTTTCCAGCTTTTAAAAAGTTTTTTTTTTTTAATTTTAATTCTGGTGTAGTTAACATACTTCTGTTAGTTTTAAGTGTACAATATAGTGATTCAACAATTCTATACATTACTCAGTGCTCATCATGATAAGTGCACTGTTAATCCCCATCACCTATTTCCCCCATCCCCCCACCACCTCCTCTCTGGTAACCGTCAGTTCTCTATAATTAAGAGCCCGTTTCTTGGTTTGTCTCTCTCTCTCTCTCTTTCTCTTTGTTTCATTTGCTCATTTGTTTTGTTTCTTAAGTTCTACATGAGTGAAATCGTATGGTATTTGTCTTTCTCTGACTGACTTATTTCGCCTAGCATTATACCGTCTAGCTCCATCCATGTTGTTGCAGATGGCAAGATTTCATTCTTTTTTATGGCTGAATAATATTCCATCATATATATACGTACCATATCTTCTTTATCCATTCATTTACCAATGGACACTTGGGCTGTTTCCATAATTTGACCATTGTAAATAATGCTGCAGTAAACATGGGGTTCATATATCCTTTTGAATTAGTGTTTTCATATTTTTTGGGTAACTACCCAGTAGTGCCATTACTGGATCCTAAGGTAGTTCTATTTAAACTTTTTGAGGAACCTCCATACTGTTTTCCATAGTGGCTGCAGCAGTTTGCATTCCCACCAACAGTGCATGAGGATTCCTTTCTCACCTTATCCTCAAATAGGTGTGAGGTGATATCTCATTGTGGTTTTGATTTGCATTAACCTGATGATGAGTAATACTAAGCATTTTTGCACGTTGGCCATCTGTATGTCTTCCTTGGAGAAACGTCTGTCCATATCTTCTGCCCATTTTTAAATTGGATTATTTGGGTTTTGGTGTTGAGTTGTATCAGTTTTTTATATACTTTGGATACTAAGCCTTTATTGGATGTTATTTGCAAATATCTTCTCCAGTTCAGTAGGTTGCCTTTTAGTTTTGTTGTTTCCTTAGCTGGGCAGGAACTTTTTGTTTTGATGTAGTCCCAATAGTTTATTTTTGCTTTTCTTTCTCTTGCCTCATGAGACATAGCCAGCAAGATGTTGCTATGGCCTATGTCAGAGAAAATATTATTATTTTAAAGTACTTGTGGGTTTTTTTAAAGTTTATTTATTTATTTTGAGAGAGAGAGGGAGAATGAGCGGGGGAGGGGAAGAGGGAGAGAGAGGGAGACAGAGGATCTGAAGTCTCTGAGCTGACAGCAGAGAGCCCAACGTGGGGCTTGAACTCATAGACCGGGAGATCATGACCTGAGCTGAAGTTGGACCCTTGACTGACCGAGCCACCCAGGTGCCCCTATTTATTTACTTTTGAGAGGGAGGGAGAGAGATAGAACCAGTGGGGGAGGGGGAGATGGGGCAGGGGACACAGAAGATCTGAAGTGGGCTCTATGCCGACAGCAGAGAGCCTGATGCAGGGCTCAGACTCACAGACCATGAGATCATGACCTGAACTGAAGTCAGATGCTTAACCAACTGAGCCACCCAGATGCCCCAAGAAGAAAAATTCTTTTATTACAGTTTATTTATTTATTTATTTATTTAGAGGGGCGCCTGGGTGGCGCAGTCGGTTAAGCGTCCGACTTCAGCCAGGTCACGATCTCGCGGTCCGTGAGTTCGAGCCCCGCGTCGGGCTCTGGGCTGATGGCTCAGAGCCTGGAGCCTGTTTCCGATTCTGTGTCTCCCTCTCTCTCTGCCCCTCGCCCGTTCATGCTCTGTCTCTCTCTGTCCCAAAAATAAATAAACGTTGAAAAAAAAATTTTATTTATTTATTT